TATAATCATTTGAAATTCCAGGAAGAGTGTCAAATATACCCCCTAAGTATTTCCATGCATTTTCCATCTACTTCCTTCAATTCATGGTCATGGGGAACAAAAGCCTATCCTTTAGTTTATCTTTAAATAAAATTCATCAACAACACATCTGCAATACAATTAATCTCTTTGGATGTGCAATGGAAGACCCTAGACAATAGAGGTCTCCAAATGTTTTCTGTTTCTCTGAGGTACTGTATACAAGGACGACATACATGGAAGATATTCAAAAGTGGCAGCATCATGTCAGAGAGTCAGAGACTGCAGGCAAGAGGTCATTGATCTCCACAAGTTGGGAGATGGTTAGAAAATATATTTTTTTTTAAATTTGAGATTTTGGACATGCTCATCAATACTGTGTAACCCTAAAAAAGATTAAGTTTGTGTTGAGCAAAGACTCCATCATGTAAACCTTCAGACAATTTCCTTTTTACTTAAAGATTTATACTATAGACTGAAATCTGTTAGAACATACCCGAATAATTTTCAAAACCACAGTTCAATTTCCTGCTTAGTTTCCTGTTTCCTGTTCAATATAACAATAACATGTCACTGTTACCAGGCAACTTCACCTACTGAGGTCTGATGTCCGATTAGCTTAACATGTCACTGCTATCAGTTACAGTAGGACTCACAGACAACTATTAATAGTCACTTATTGAATCTGTGCTCCCCAACTATGTGATAAGAACAGTAAACTGAGTAATTTACTAAGGCTATGAGAAACATGAATTTCTTTATGTATGCCTCATTCACGGTGCCTTGATACAATATCCTGCTCAATATGATAATTTATATACTACTGTGATTGTTTAGAATTTGTGTGTGCACCAAATGGCTAACAATATTATTTTTTGTAAGTATTAAGTGAAACATTTCCAAATTAGCCTTCACTTGAGCTACCCTCAAGACTAACACTAGGAGGAATGAAAAAATGAAACACAGAAAGTGCTGGGGAGTAATAAGATACTGTACATGTTTTACTGTATCTTATCTTTTTAACATCCCAGTGTCAATAAGGAGCCAATTAAGCCAATTAATCTACCAGTATGTCCTTGGATATACTATGGTTCATCTTCATATAATATAAACCTTTACCTGTGGACTGTGAGACGAATCCAGAGCACCGGAAAGAAACCCTCATGAAGCGAGAGAGAATATGCAAACTCCACACAGATAGCACTCCAGAAATTGAACCCAGTTCCCCAGAGCTGCATAGCAGGAATACTAACCTCTGCACCACTGCTGTCCAAAATTCATACTTCCAACACAGTGCAATACGTTTGATTTTTTAAAGGTTTGTTGCTGCTATAATCAAAGTATGTCTCAATTCATGAGGAAAACAGCCAAGTTGTTTAGCATACTACACCTTTTTATCTGTGTTTTTTTAAGTTGGAAGTCCTCGGTAAGGTGATTTAATTCCACCTTTGAGAGTTATTTGTTAATTCCTATTATCTAGTTGTTAATTATTCTTGAGGAACATAGAAAATCTAGATGTGACATCAATCACGTTAATGTGTATACCATGTGTATAAATTAATTTCTCTTAAAATTGGTGTAAAATGAGCATTCTCCATCCATCAACACACAAAACAATTATGTTTGGGCAAAAGGTTTCCCGAGTAGCATATGAAATCTATAGAATACATATTATACAGTAATATAGAGCCACCTGGTGGTGAAAAACAATCATCTTTAGAACAATATAGCAAAATGATTTTATGTTTTATACCTACAGGTATATATTACAGGTGTGTGGAGTCGATGAAAGAGAGGAGTTGGATAGAAACATAAGAAGGCTGTGTTAAAAATCAGTTGGAAAGATATACAACAGAAGGTGCACCTTTTTATAGTATTGTTAACCAAAATAACAAAGAAAACCTTTTTATGATCATTTTTTAACCATCTGCTTCACTATGTATATATATTTGCACATGATTTTTGGAAGAGAACCACACTAACATAAACACTTTGGCACTAAAGTGCTACAATCTCAGATTGAGACTTAAAGACCACTGTCATGGAAGGCACTTTGCCTCTGGGAAATCTGGAAGCAACACCAAGCAGTGCTGCTGATGGAAGTCTTCAACTACCCCTTGGTATACCAGCTCCAACCCACACTAGATCAGGACCTGTAGCCCTACCCGGGTCTCCATCAACACTACCAGCCTAGCAAAAAGAGCCAAAGGTGACACCATTTCACATTGGAGAACTACTTATGTTAATTCACACAGGGATGTGGCCAAAGGCGGAAAAGGCGTGCTGTCTGATTTCTTTGTTGGCATTACAAGTCTATAGTTCCACTAATGAAGAGCATTAAGTAATTACCTTGACCTGAAAGCAGCATTGCTGACCAAATCTGATGCCTCTTTTCGAAACCTACTGGTAACAGTTTAAAAGCATGACCAAACTTTCTGGAGAACTCCAGCAGAGACCTACAGTACCACCGACTCAAGAGTCTACAGTCAGTGGGAAAAACTTGGACAAAGGGAAAAAGAGGAAGTCAGGGAGATAATTGTGTTGACATCTGTACCTGGGGCAAAGAACATGAACATGCTAATGAACTTATACTACATAAAGGGTACAGATGATGATGACAGAGATTATAGAAACCCTAAATTACAGGGTGTTTTTGTAAGGTAAGATCACTTTATTAGCCATATACGATTTCTTGCATTAGGAATTTGTCTTTTTGTCATACTCCAGCTTGCTCTCCATGAGACACACAGACAGGAAGCTTGGGGTCAGAGTGCAGGGTCAGCCATTTATTCGGCACCCCTGGGGCAGCTGGGGCTAAGGGCCTTGCTCAGGGGCCCAACAGAGTAGAGTAGGATTCCTCTGCCAGCCACAGGATACAAACTGGCACCCTTCCAACCACAGGTGCCAATTTGTGGCCACAGAGCCACCACACTGCCCACTGCTCTGCCTATATTTTGATGCCTGTAAGTATGATAGAACATCTCCCCAGTGATTTAAAACTGGGAACAGATTTACCAGCACTGCCAGAATTTACTTAGGATTTAAAATTTACTTAGAATTTAATCAGGTGGAGTTGGCATGTCTGGTGGTCACAAGAGCCCAAGTTAAGGCTGGGCTACAAACCCTGCTGGACTTATGTGAAAGACGTACCCTGAAAAACTAGGTATCATTACTATTCAGAAAAGCAATGGAGGACTCTGATAATTGTACTCTGAATTTAAAAAAAAGGCTACGACCTTCTTCATTTTGCTTACAGTAAATCAAATCGTCTTCCAGTTTGTGTCACGATCGTAATCCCTCCTCTTAGGGGCGCTCCGTCCCTTTCGTATTTAGTTGATTACTTGCACCTGCCCCCTGTTTTGTCTCCTTATTTAAGCCTTGTGCTCTCGCTATTCCTCTCTCAACATTGGGAGATGGACGCCTGGAAGCCCGTCTACCAGCAGTTCCAGGAGAGACCCGACAGCATAGGCTTCATCATGGAGTCCTGACCAGCTCAGAGTGCCTGGCCTCGTTATCTTCCTGGTTCCCCGTTCCTGTTCTGGATCCGGTTCTGGATTTTAACCTTGTCTGTCTTGGATGGATCTCCCAGTTCCTGGATTTTGGACTGCACCCCTGATTTCCCGTTTTGGACTTCCCTGGACTTGTTTGCTTTCGCCATGCCCCCCGACCACTGGATCACCGTCATCACGCCCCCCTGTCTGTCAACCTGTCCTATCCTGCTGTACCTTTCCCTGATGTCCTTTTCCACTTACTTTTGGATTATACTGCCTGCATAGGGTCCTGAACTACACTTCGCAAGAGCCTGGAGTGGCTCCCGTTATAATTTGCTCCCACCATCCAAACATATACTGGTAGGTTAAATGGCTTCTGGGGAAACTGGCCCTGGTGTGAGTGTGTGTCTGTGACTGTGTTTGTGTCTGTGTCTGCCAGCGATGCGCACAAGACAGGGTATACTCTGTGATGGATCAGTGTTTCATTCAGGTTGTACCCCACCTTGTGCCTGTTGCTTGCTGGGAATGGCTTTGACTCCCCTGTGACCCTGAATTGGACGGAGCGTTGAGAAAAGGGATGGATGAATAGATATGATCATAAATTTATTTGGCTGATGACTTTATCCAAAGCGACTTACCATTTATACCCCATTGTTGGGTATTTTATTGGAGTAAACTGAGTGAGGTACTTCGCTCAAAAGTACAATACCATCTGATCTGGGATTTGAAACTGCACCCCCTACATTTGAATCAAGAGTCCCAACTCCCTTTACTGTTATTAACATTTTATCTTCAAACTTGCACATCAGCCAAAATTAACTGAATGCCATTAGTCCTTAATAATTTATTAAGTCTTCACAATGTTTACAGTCATGCTAAGGTGTAGCCTAAGTTAGGGTAGCGATGAATGGTGTATGAACTATCACTTTTTAAAATGAGGTGCTCTGGCAGCTAGATAAGCTAGATAAATGCTAATGTGAAGCGAAGCCAATCACTTCATTTCCTGCGATCACTTAGGTTAGTGACATCCTGTTCCTTTCATACCTATTTTTCAATAATGTAAAATAGACAGTTAAAAAGAACACAATGTTAAATGCAACTGTATTGAATATCCAAAGTTTATCATTTCTCTCATTTTCTTATTTATTTCAGTCCATGGTTTATGCTAAACCTGTAAAATGTAATAATTTATTGAATAAAATGTAATAATAAGATTTAGTTAAGGGGTATAAATTCTACATTTTCTAACATAATTGAACTGTTTGCACAGTTTCTAATGAATATTGGAACGGAAGCATTTTAGCATGGAGTTGCACAAATTTGAAAACACAACATGCTAGTGATGCACAGTGGTGCCAATGCATTGCACATTATTTCCTTTACTTTAAAAAACAGGAATCAAGCTATAGCTGGTAAAAAAAAATTATATTCATAATTAAAAATAAAATCTTTTTTCAGTTTTCAAATGCATAATAATATAATTTGACAATCTCACAAACGTATTTTTTCAAAACTAGACACTGATTGAAATTTACCCCTTATAAGAGCTGAAGCTGAAAGAAAAGTGTGTGAAAAGCCACATTGCTTTACTTGAACGTTTTCCGGTTAATCATCTCATTTACTGAAAACTGAAACAGCTCCGAGTCACCTGCTGTGAACAAGCCCTGTGTTAGTTCTGTGTGAAGTACAGTATGTCTTCAGATATTGTGCTAAATTTGACATTTTCTAAAACAAAGGACAACCAACCTCATTTTGGCATTATTATAATTACTGGTTTACACAACTGAACATTAAGAAGTGTTACTTACCAATTGTGTATTTTACATACAGTAACTGGATAAACTCACTCCAGCATACAAGGACACTATCACTCTGCATCTCTAGTGGGAAAGTGGACGACCTCCAATACAACCAGGGAAGTCACAAATAAGGAAAGGCACCCAGGTCCAAATGTCCCTGTGAATTTAACTCAGCTCTGTGATTTCATGAACGCATTCCTCTATCTGTTTACCTCACTACTTTGTACTGTGATAATGAACATGCAGAGAACATCAAGTATTTACATTTAATAATTCTGAGGATAAAGATTGTTGTGCGGGTAATACCAAAATCCCAGCTTGAAAGCAAAGATGGTGTGATTGCATTGCAACTAGCCTTAAAAGTATGGAAATCCAATCAAAATCCAAAGAACAATTTCAATATTTTTGTTTTATAAAAACAAATTTTGATCTGAGGATTTTAATCATTAAAACAAAAACAAAAATCTATCAATCTCACTCAACCGGTACATAAACACACACACACATACAGTACAAAATAAGCATTGGAGTCAACTGGAATCCAGCTGTGGGTAATTTATCTGTATATATTCCTCTTCTCTGCTGATGTCACATCCAGCTGTGTCCTGCAGACATCATAAACGGCCTTGTCTCCATGTCTCAAGTCCTGCAAATACCATTCATGGTCTATTTATAATACATAAAACTTGTCTATGGATAAGGTTTACTGGACAACAAATAAGCAGGTGTATGTAAAATATGAATACCTCATAAATATATTCCGTTTCATTCGTCTTCTTCTCTCTCTAAAATGAATAAGAGAAGATCCGTTAGATTAAAGCTAGTTAGCGCAATTCAAGCAACACGGATGAATGAAACTAACCCAACACCTACGCAACTACACCATCTGCATTCCAGGGTAGTCCCAGTTTCTATGTGAGGTTCCATGTGCTCAATGATGAAGTGAGGAATCTTTTGAGTGACAATAGAATTCTAAATTTCGTGTCTGTACAGTGCACACAGCATAGTTATATTGTGTAAAATCAACAAATACAACATGGGTGTCTAGGTTTCAAATGCATAATTGAAACCAAAATGATTTGGCACCTCCTAAAACGTCTTATATATTTGTCATGTGCATAGGAATCAAAACAATCAGGTATAATTGTAGATGAAAAGAGAATAAAATGCATGATCTTAAGTGCACTTACTGTATAACAACTAAGACAGTGTGATGCTTTTTGCATTCTATGGTACAAATAGTTCTGCTTTCACACTTTTCAACCTTTGGCTTCCAATGAATGATCAATTTTTGATATATTTGTATATGTTCTTGATCAATATGTGCTGAACAATTACATAAATATGTAAATAAATAATTTACCAAATCTATAGAGCATTGTAAAATCTGCTGTGATAGAAACCTAATGTGCTGAAAAAAGCGGCACATTGCAGATGTGCAGTCCAGATGGCACAATTATTCTGAAAGGACCAAATGCTGTAGAATGCAGGTGTGCTCACAAGATTCAGCCGACACTGAAAATACGTTCAATTAACATTTTCAGTGTTCACCAGCGAGTTGCTGGAATGGCTGTAAATCGATATGTTAATCTGAAGGATGTAAAGGAAGAAAATAAGGTGTGATTCAACAAATATTGACTACTGTACAAAACACAGGTTAGCAACGTGATCTGATAGTATTACATTTGAAGAAAACTTGTTTAATTCAGATTGGATGTAATGTCAAAGTGGAAAAATGGTTTTGTATGTTCACCACAGTGGTTTGACAGTTGGACAGGGGCTGTGTGACCGTCAAATTCATTTGAATGCCTATATCGAGCAGTTGGACAATAATGTATTTGAAAGTACTTTTTCACAACCTACTTTATTAATACCACATCTACAGATGTTTCATTCAATAAAGTCATTTTAATTCAATCCTTTCAGGGCCATAGAACATAAGAACATGAGAACACAGGAAGGATTTCTACCAAGAAGGGGTCAGTCAGCTAGAAACCAGCCTCTCAGTTAACCTCCCCAGCCTACTGAATGTGATCTGACATACTTGATCAATTTATTTTTAAAATCCTTTGAGACTTTGAGTTATATTTCAATGACAGAATAAACAAAAATTAATAGGAAATGTAGGATCAAATGGAATTCTTACCATCAAACATTCTTACCATCAGACCTTAGCAGTAGTAATTCAAGCAGTCAGAGGTTATTATTAAAAAACTGCTACCAGACAAATTTGTTGTAAGGGTCAAGAAAGAGTCAGAAAAATTCTAGTCAGATTCTTACCTTGACAAATCTGTATGGTAAATAAAAAGTAAAGTAATAATAGTGTTCATTTTACTATGTATAAGCAAAAAATAATAATTTCAATTTCAGTAGGCCACATTGATTGGAAGGAAACATTTTTTTTCCTTTAAATTGACAATAGTATTATTGTCTGTAATAGTATAGAGTATTATCGACAGACACTGGACTTTCTTTTGTGAACTCTGCACAGGTAGGTAATGTATATTACCTGTTTTGTCTGTTCACTCCTTGAACCTGCAATTTAAAATAATAAGAAATAAATGATTAAGGTTTATGGTTTATGGTACATTATTCATTGTGCTACTCAGACCAGAAGTATATATTTTAAATATATACTATGACAGGGTTAAATTAAATCACTGAAATCCCTGAATTGCCAAATACTTGATACTATTGATTGCAGAATAATTCATATACTGTAGGATATTCATGATTCAACTATTAATTAATCACTACGGGGTAGTCATAATAATAAGTCATAAACATTGGAAGTCTTTTTGTAACTGTATATAAATGTAATACAGCATGAAAAAATCTTAATTAAAAAAGTAGTATTTTTTGCTACTGTACCACACAATTTAGTTTTACTCATTCACACCTCTTCTTCTGAAACAGTAGACAGCAATTCCCATGTACGTCAGCGATATGATGACAGCAAAGACGATTGAAAGACACAGAAAAATATCCACGGTTTGACCTGTGATGTTGACACAGACAACAATGCCGAGTTACAAAAGAATGTAAATGTAATGCAAAACACCGAAATTTGTTAAAACATGATTCCTTTTAATTAGGCTAATGACTGTTTTATTATATATGTCCAGTTGTTTGAAGATTTGGTTCTCTGGCTCATACCCTCTCAGAAGAGAATAAGACACACATTCTCCTCCAGCCTGGATCCTCCTAAAACAAGTATTTGATATTGCTAATGTGCTCCATTAACACCTTTGTAATATATGGAAAAAATAGTTTGAATGCTAGTGCTTTTTTAAATGTGAATGTTGGAACCAGATTACTAGATTAGAAAACATAGGCAGTGCAATTCAAAGAATTTGATCATATTCTTATTATTTTCTCAGAATAAAATACACCATAATACCTTTAATACTGTATAGTATAATATACACCCACTCCTCTCTTAGATCATTTGAGAGACAGAAACTAGATATCAACATCTTTGACCTGTTTCCTAACAGCAACTAATAAAAAATTATTATTATCCATGTTTGCGCACTATTGATATACCTTAAACCAGAATTTAGGTCATAACCCTTAAATCCATCTTTAAAGTGAATGGTTCATACCTTCAGTGTGAATATCTTGTATTCTTCCACATATGCTGCCTGATTTGTAGAATTAAGACATAAAAAAACAAACAAAATTAATTACTGTAAATGACTATCACTTTCACTTTCTAACACTCTCAAACTTCCATAAGTGTGTTGAGTAAGGAAAAAGTTTTTTATTTTTAAACTTAATCTTGCACTAGGCACATTTCATAGTATAGCACTACTGACTTTAGTTAAGGAACAAAATGATATCATTATCCACACATCTGTTACTTTGAGGCCTTCATGACATTATCGTTAATTGCATTTTAGAACATAAAGGACAACAGTAAAGTGTACAGTCTTTCCCAAATGACTAAGATTATTCAAAAGTTAAAAATTAAAAAGATTGCTTTATCTGCTGTTCACAAACCATAAACCCAGTAAAATAAGCGTTCCACCTTTGTATTCTCACTTCTGTAAGTCTGTTCCGACTGACACCTATAATTCTTGATGCTGCCACATCCTGTTATGTTCCATTATGATATTTTTTTGTTCTTTCTCTGGTTTCTCTTCTGTGCAACACTGGCGTGGGTGGGATTGAAGTTGCAAATGAGAACCTCTCCTAAAAATAACTTTTCCAGCTCCAATGCCTTGAAAAACTATTTAACCCCATCAGGTGATTTACCATTTTGTTGTCTTAGTCTTGACCAGCTTTACAGTGACTGCTGACAAGAAGCAGAACTATTACGTAATGTAGCCACCACCAAGCTTAACAGCATGGAAGGTGTTCACTGAGTGAGGTACTGTGCTGGGTTTGTACCAGATGTAATTCTTTGAATTTACTTTGCATTTCGCCCACACAGTCTTAAATGACTACAAAATCTTTTGCATCACCTACAATCACTAAAATGGTTTGGTCCATTTTTTTCAGTAATGTCTTCCTTCGTGCTACACTGCCATGTTGGCCAGTTTTGTAGAGTTACGGGGATGTTAATGATTCATTTTCTTCTGTTTCAGGCACTGAGCTCTGTATCTCTTTCAAAGTTGCTTTTGGCCTACAGTGGCATCCCTAATCAGATTCTTGCCTTGATGATCTCTCTTTGCCCAGCTGCTCAGTTTGGAGGGCTGAGTTGATCTAGGCAGTGTCTGGGTGGTAAAACACAAGTTCCGCTTCTAAATGATAGACGTACTGTGCCCAAATGCTTAGATTTTTTTATGCCTTTCTCCTGATCTGTGTCTCTCTGCCACCACAGGAAATCACTGAGTTATTTGCAAATGCTTTGGTCTTCATATTTAAAACTTTGCTCGAATTTCACTTCCTGCCTGGTAGACCTTATAGAGCCAGGGTAAGTTTGTTCAGAAATCCTTATTTTGTTCATCTGAGCTGATTTCCTGGCACAGTAGTGCAGTGGTTAGCATGGTGGCCTAGCAATGCTGGGGCCCTGGGTTCAGTGTGTCACGGGAAGCTGGAGCCTACCTCACAAGCAACGTGCGCAAGGCAGGGTACACCCTGGATGGGGCGCCAGTCCATCGCGGGGCAAGTGCAAGTCAATCATACATTGGAAATTTGGAAGGGGGTATAACTCCCTACTCTAATCGAGAAATGCCCGGGGATCTTTAATGACCACTGAGAGTCAGGACTTCGGTTTAACGTCTCATCCAAAAGACGGCGCCCACTACAGTATAGTGTCCCTGCCACAATACCGGGGCATTAGGACCCACACAGATCACATGCTGGGCACCCCCTGCTGGCACCCCCCGCTCCCACTAACACCAGTTCCAGCAGCGACCATAGCTTCCCAGGAGGTCTTCCATCCAGGTACTGACCAGGCTCAACCCTGCTTAGCTTCTAGCGCTATACAGTGTGTTTGACTTCTGTAAGTTTGTATGTAAATTCTTAAGGCTTCTGTAAAACTTCCTGTGGTGTGAGTGTGTGTGTGCGTTTGTGTCTGTGTGTGGCCTGTGATGGACTGTCTTGTCCAGGATGTGTCTTGCCTTGCAGGCTTTGCTTGCCGAGATAGGCTCTGGCTCCCCTGTGACCCTGAATTGGATGCAGCAGTTAGAAAATGAATTAATGAACTCATTTAGATAAGAAATGCAAAAGGGGTAAATATTTATGTAATCATCTCTTAGTTTTTAATTTTGTGTACTGAAAGCATTATTATTATTATTGTAAACCACTGAATTTCAAGGGATTCATGAGTGAAAGTTTGATACAATTTAAAAGTAATCAGAATTTGCATTAATTTTGCATTTATAAATATTCCCTTCATGTGGGAGTGGGAGTTCAGAAAAACAGCTGCTTTTTTCATGAGATAGATAGATAATACTTTATGAATCCCGTAGGGAGATTGATAGAGATCTGATAACATGACTTCACCAGTACAGTTAACAGCACTACCTGTTCCACTCTACTTCTGTTTTTCTGTAAATTATGAAGTGCCTGAGAACAATAACCATCAGATATGATTTCATTTCTCCACAAATTGATATTCTCCACAGGCAATGGATTAAATCCAGGTTTCAACATTTAACTTTTTGCAAAATTATATCTGTATCTGTTAAAGACCTTTTTTTGATCTGGTTTAATTATATTATTCTATGATTTCTTATCTCAAATTCTTGTTTTAATATTAGTTTGTAATTGTTTATGCGGCATGAAAGCTCACTTGAGCACTTTCGTTTATTTCTATTCTATATTTTTGTTCCACTTATAGACATTTGATCCAAATGTATGCCAATTATAATCTTTTACACATTTTTTCTTTACAGACCTTAGGAAATTCTGCTTTCTTTTCCTCGTGACAACGAAGATGAATTAATCGTTTTCTTCCTACAAGAGCTTGTGAATCAAATTGTGTGGAAGACTTGCAATTTCAATATCTATTTTTTTTCTTCTTTATGAACTTGACAAGCTACGGTATCAATAGAAGTGGAAGGACAGACATCCACACAATGTTTTTTTTTTTAGTTTTAAGAGAGATTAAATAAACGCTTGCTCTCACATGTGTTATCTTATTTCATTCATCCTTTTTTTTACTACTCCTTCAAATTCAGGAGGGTCATGGGGGAGACAGAGTCTATCCCAGCAAGCAACGAGTGCAAGGCGGGATACACCCTGGATAGGACACCAGTCCATCACAGGACACACACAGAACCAGACACAGACACATACGCAATAGGGTCAGTTTTCCCAGAAGCCAGTTAACCTGTCAGTACAGTATGTCTCTGGAGCACCCATTGGAAACCCACAAGAACACATGGAGAACATATAAACTGCATGTATGTGCATGTTGCAGAACGTCCTGCCAGCATACGGAAAAAAATACAGGTACTGTATTTTTGTTTCAATTAAACATCAACATTGAATGACAGTGCAAAATAATGATTGATTCAGCCCCAATGTTTTAACTATGTAAAAGAAAAACTGGATATTTTACCAGTTAATGTCACCAGAGATCCATTCCCAATCTCCACCTTCCCACGTTCCTTGCTGCAGTAGTATGTCGCTGTGTCGTCCTCAGTGACATTAACAATGACCAGGATATTAGTTCCTCCTTCACTGGAAGCCTTGAACTTTGTGTCCATGAATCCATTGTAATAAGATGGAGGCAGAGCGGACTTCTCTGAGTAAAGAAGGATGGCCTGAGGGGACTGACCAGGCTTGTGTCTGTACCAGGTAACTTCAGGGCTGGATAGACCACACCACACTGTCTCACTGGATCCAGCACACACCTGTGCTCTCAAGGCATCTGAAAGAGGAAAATATTATTTCTAAATTACACATTAATATTGCAACAGAATTTAAAATATTTCTGTCAATACTGAAAAGTTTGAACATAGCTTCACCTTGACCACCCTAAAACTGCATGTGAAAATAGTCTAATAGTAAGCTACTAGTTATACTAGTGATGCAGCATAAATTCAGTATATACTAAATACGTAAGACATAGCTACAGTAATAATGTGATTTAAAATGCATTTAACCAATTTAAGTAGATAAAACCTCTGTAAGACTGCTTACAAGTTAAACACAGAACAAACAGCAATTCTTGTGTCGTTAGCATTTTGTATTTAGAGTCTTTCTGCTGTGAGACTGGAATTTGCACACAACACTTTGGTCTGTGCGCTTGTCAGGAAATAAGGGCTGGGCTGAGGGTCAGCTGGCCAGCTCACAGCACACTCTGTTACCACTGTACTGAAACACCCAGAATACTTTCTACTTTCTGGGGGCCCTAGCCTATTTTCTATGACTGCAAACAGCCGCAAAAACAAGTCAAACACTCCTCTGCAAGTGGAGCACTAACATCAAGTTGTTACTGTCATCTTAATTAGCTCTGTGTGTATGGAAGATTATGTGTGTTGATGTTTTCACACATCCGAGATGCATTTGTCTGGGTTGATTCTCATGTGACCTTCAGTAATGCAGTAGGAAACATAACAGAATATTAAATTGATTGAAACAGTTTTGAGTAATGATTGTTGATTTCACTTGGAATAACTTAATCTGTTTAACATCTACGAATGGGCTTTAGGAAACTGCAGGGAACCATTAGCAAGATATATTGTGTATTATGCATGTAGGGCTTTTGTGCATTTACTGGGACAATTATTAATTGAAGCAGTAAGCCACAAAATGATTCTTTGATGGCTATTAGAAAACTGACCTTGCAGAATAACTCAGCAATGCATATACTGTAGATGGATACTAATACACGACAATACATTTATTAATATATCAAATGTGCATATAAACATAACAGAACTTATAGTGAGGGTTAGCAGAATACAAAAGGTATATATTTAATCACTAAGAGTTACTAATACCAAGAGGGACATACATTCAGTACACCACTCATTTATACCGTTTTGTTAATTAACTTTGATTACAACTCCTACACTAGATACTCCAAAGCAAGTACGAGGTAACAATTTAATTCTTGAGCTGTAATGCAGAATGTTGAATACTTATCCAATCTATGTGGATTCAGATCTCCCACGGACACAAAGGAACAGCAACAGGCTGTTGCAGTGTCCAGTTGGTGTCCTCTGGCCAGGTGCCAGGCAGTCCTGGTGCGACGTGAGGTGTGGGAGAAGAAGGGAGAGATTCCTGCTGCGGAGTGCTGGCAGTGGCTCTCTCAAGACCGGCTAGTTAGTCCTGGCTGAACTAGCACAGTTTGCGCACATGAAAAGTGACTGTGGGTCCAAGCAAGTCACACTCTTTAGACAGGAAGAAGACTAGTTTGTTCCTGATGTAGCGCTAGTCCTGAATCCTGAGATTCAGCTATCGACAGTTCTGACCATAGTTCACTCGTTGATCAGGCGAGCGTTCACAGTGGGATACCGACGGTTCACGAGGCTTGCTGCTGGGCTTACCTCGGATGGATCCTTTGGTTATGCGCGGGAAACCTCTGGTCTCGACTCTTAGAACACAGTAAAGTCCTAGCACTCAGACACACTGGCCGTCATGTGATTGTCCGAGATGAGTCTGAGAATGTCCTGGAGGGGCCCCTTCTGGGCCCTGTGCTGCCTCTTTTATCTGGAGGAACTACGGTCGTTCTTGGTTGAAAGTTTGGCAGGCATTCGAGACCCACGTGGGGTTACCCTGCCCTACCAGTTCCTAATTGGCTGATTGAGTGGAGGATGAGTAACAATGCACTCTGACCTTAGGGTTGTAAACCTTGGGATGAGACTCTCCCTTGGAATCTCCCAGACAGTAAGGCACCAGAGATGACCATTCATTACAGTGGCTGGAGAATCTCAGCCTTGGGAGTTATCCTTATCCTTATCAGGAAACTCTATCAGACAGAAAAACACCTTAAACCTGAACCAAATGGAATGGCCTCTCTGTCTCCAGCACCACTGAGATGAGGCAGAGAGAGACTGGCAAGGAAGCAGCAAACTTCATTCCTGTATGATTAATAAGCCTTGACGCTACATGTGTAACATAAACAAACAAAATGTATTTTATCTCTTGACTAATAATGGGTGAATTTATATTTTTACGATATCTTGCTGAGCTGAAGTGACAATGGTATAGTACCAAGAAAAGCTTTGTGACCCGAGATGGATGAGAGTGTATTCTTGGGTCAAAATGTTATTAAATCTACATTTTAGGTCAAAAATGTTATTAGATCTTCATGAAAGTCTAATTAGAAAATACAAATAACCTGATTAAATATAATATAAGATATATTTGGATTTTTTTAATATCAAAAGGATTCAATTAGAATTTGAGTAGGTCAAGTAGGTACAGTAGCTGTGTCAGCATGTTTAGGTTGCAGTGGAACATGTAAAGGTTTATTCCATGCTGAAAGGAGAAGAAAAGAAAGACAATGTTTCAGCTGTGGAGCCTTCTTCGGGTGATATTTTGTGTGAATAAGGATGTGAGCCATTATATTCAGTAAATGACTACACCTCCTCCAGCATCAATGACTTCAGCTAATTGCTTACTGACACCGTCAGTCTCTTGCGTCAATTGTTTATGAATTCTGGCACATTGAAGAACTGCTACGGGTTGGTGACACTTCAGAGCTTCCTTGCATGAACAGTTTATTTCAGGTCTTGCCCTAACCATTTCAGTGGGCTATAGGTCCCACCATTGACCTGCCTGATCCAAAAGTTGTAGAGCTGCCCATATGTTTAGAATCAGTTTTGCTGCAAGACTGACTTTCAGCTCATCTTGAGCTGAGTTCACGAGGAATGACAACATCCAAGATGAAAGCGCCATGGAGTGAAATTGTGGCTAAACCCGCTTAGCTGAGGGCTGGCCTCCCGGCCATAGGACAAGGAGACCAGGACCCCCATGCAGGGTGACCAAGGGGCAGATGCAGAAGTGGAGATGGGGTGGAGGTGGGATGCAAGAGACATGCAAGAGAGATAGGGATCCTGTAGATATTTATAGCGTTTGGGAGTGGAATGGATTCTCAGGAGCGATTCCTAACTACTGACAGCTGTCTGATTGAGCTTGGCAGTTCTCATCCCTCCTGAACATTTGTTGTAAACTCTATGAATGGAAGACCCACCATTCTCCTCCAAAATTACCTGATGCAACACCTAGTTCATAGTACTGTCAGTGATGTTGAGCTGCCTAGGTCCTGAGGCAGCAAAGCAGCACGTATAGGCTGCAGAGAAACAGGAAAACGATTATTCCATGCTGAAAGGAAAAGATGTCAAACTGAAGTAGAATCTACAGCCCCAACGCTGTTTCTTTTCCTTTCAGAGTGGAATAAACCTTTATGTCCTAAGAAATTACCTTTACCTTTACCTTTATGTCCTAAGAAATTTCAAATTACACACCAATGTCTGAGCAGCTGTCAAAATGTTTTGGTTAACTGTGCCATTAGCTCTCACATCTGCTGTTGTACTTCCCTCTAGTGGTTGTCTTATAGAAGTTCAACCTTCTTGAGTCGCACTCATCTGAGGCTCTACATGAGAGGGGGAACGAAAGGAGGGAATTATTGTCCATGGTGCATTGTGACAACCCTGGATTGCAGAGAGCACTGGGATTTAGGGATGGCCAACCCTGACCCCAAAAGCCAAGATCCAACAGGTTTTATCATGTCGTCAATTTCTAAATACAGGGAACAACATCCTTGTAACCATTAAAGCAGGTGAATTGTTTTGAATCGGGTAGTTACAGTGAGTAGTAAATTGAGTAGTTAAGAGGTCATTTGAAAAGCAGATCTCAAAACTCTAGCTCTGTAGCTCGTGAGGGCCAGTTGATTTGCTAAACTGAACAAAAATTAACACATGTAATCAAATCAAATCAAACTTTATTTATCAAATGCACAACAATACAGCGTACAGCAGTAGTTGCTGGCAATGAAATGTCTTTTCTGTGAGCTCACAAAAATCACAAGCATCACAGAAATCACAAAAAGCACAAAATTGAGGTTATGAAAATAAGGTTACATAATAATAGATGTAATAGAAATGGATTAAAACTCAATATGAGTAGAGCTGCTATGTGTCCATGGTGTATGCAGTGTATACAAATAATGCCGTTATGCTGAATACAGTGAAAACTGGATGTCCATGTAGCCATTACAAGTGATTTGCTGAAGGAGCTGCAGGTTGGCTATTTAGCAGTCTTATTGCCTGGAGGTAGAAGATGTTCCGTAGTCTGTTGGACTTGGACCAAATGCTTCGGTACCCTTTACCAGACGGTAGGAGGGAAAACAGTTTGTGACTGGGATGACTGGGGTCCTTGAGAATGGACCTGGCCTTCTTCAGACATCTAGCTGAGTAGATATCCTGGATGTTTGGTAGCTCACAGCCGGTAATGAGCTGCACTGACTTCACCACCCTCTGCAGTACTTTGTGATCCCGGGCATAGCAGTTCCCATACCAGGCAGTGATGCAACCAGTCAGGATGCTCTCAATAGTGCACCTGTAGAAGTTGGCCTGGATGTGATGGCATGCCAAACCTCTTTAGCCTACAGAGAAAGAATAGGCGCTGCCGTGCTTTGACCACAGTTTTGGTGTGGTGGGTCCAGGTTAAGTCCCCTGAGATGTTAACTCCCAGGAACTTAAAACTGCTGACCCTCTCCACTGCAGTCCCACTGATGTAGATACTGTAGGTGTATGATCTCCTCCCTGGTGTTTTCTATAGTCCACAATCATCTCCTTAATCTTACTGATGTTCAGAGAGAGGTTGTTCTCCTGGCACCATGCTGCCAGGGTTTCAACCTCCTCCCTGTACGCAGACTCTTCACCATCTTTGATCAGGCCGATGACTGTTGTATCATCCGCAAACTTAATGATGGGGTTTGAGTTATGCCTGGCGACACAATCATGAGTAAATAAGGAGTAGAGGACAGGGCTAAGCACACAGCCTTGGGGGGCTCCAGTGTTTAGAGTCAGGGTAGAGGATACAGTATGTTGGTGCCCACCCTCACCACCTGCGGACGTTCTGTCAAGAAGTCCAGGATCCAGTTACAGAGGGAGGTGTTCAGTCCCAGGTCCTGGAGCTTGATGACAAGCTTTGAGGGCACTATGGTATTGAACTTGAATATGTTCAAGTCTTCAGCAAATTGAAAAGTAAAGGAGTACGTGTAGGACTTTTTGGATCACGGAGCTGTAGGGTTGGGTGTATCTGCCCCTGCTGCTGAGTATGTGATCCAGTGCGCTAATGCGCTGTGACAATTGATAGTGCAAGGAAAACCAAACATGTATTGAATACATAAATCCAAAATTTATTTGATTCAGCCTAAAAGCTATAGTAATTGACAAAAGAACAGAAGAAAGATTACAAACGAGAGGTCATCTGGCCTGTTTCGTTGTTAGTAGTTAGCTAACTACTACGGATCTCATCAGCATCAACCACATGGCTGGGCAGCTTGTTCCACAATCCTAGAACTGTGTGGGTAAACAATTGTCAACAGTTCAAGTCAACAAGAAAAAAAGTAAAAATCAATGAAGTTTCAAAACGTGAAAGAGGTGTGAGTCCCACACCCGAAGAAGGCTTCACGGCCGAAACGTTGTGTTTTCTTTCTTCTTTTTTCAGCATGGAATAAACCTATTACTTGTTCATCTACAATGCATGTTTGCTTTGTTATGTACCTGAAAATTCTAATAAGACCTTTTCCAAATTTCTGTACTTTTCATCAGTTGTAAAAAGTAACGTTAGTACTGTCTCTGAAAAACAGAATTAGTGTGTTTAACCCATTTTATTTCTTCAGCCTGGACCTCTTCTTAGGTGTTCTTAGGTGTTCCTGACCTTCTTAGTTCTTCTGTAGAGAAAACAGAGGGAAAATCAGCTTTCTCTAAAATAATTACTCACCCAGAGCACACTGACACATAGATCTCTGTTAGCCTGGAGCTGGGAGATTAATTAAATAACTGAGGTGTGATCAGCACAGTCCCTGTCACTGTTCTGCAGGCAGGGTTTGGGTTCTTGTGCCTAACATCAAAGCAAAGGGACCAGGGCTCCTGTCTGTCTCAACAACAGCTGAACGCCGGAAAGATATGAACCAGTATGATGGGCAAGGCACACAGCTGTGTGTTGGAAACAAACGTATGGGAGGTGAAACCTAAGATCACAGCCTTTCTTTATTTAAGGAAATTGATCGTTCTAATCCTCCAGCCCCAAGGCTCTCCTGCAGTGGAGTTTCAGGCTGTGATCTACCTGGCTCTTTCTGAAGCCTGGGGACCTGCACTGTGACAGCGTACTGACACTTAGGGACTGAGCTGACACTGTGCTGCTCCACTGCCAGAAACACCAGGCCTCTGCTCCCATGTGACTGGCAAGCATCACAGGACAGCGAACAGGGCAATGAGATTCTGACAACATGTGGAGTGCGGAGTGAGATCATTTAATTTCACCACAGGGCTGTGTTATCTGTGCTCAGGAGGCACGAGCGCTTCAGTTCTCAGGTGCTCAGAGATTTTTCAGGACATTCATCAGTCTCATCAGGATCCCCTTGAAACACACCCACAATGTGCAGTCAGCACAGACACTGAGACACACATCACACACATATTAACAAACAGGGAAGCTTAGACACAAATATTTCATTAGGTCACTTCACTTACCTTCACTGGGCTATACCACATTGTTTGAATAACTCCCTCCTCTTCCACATAGCTACACCTATCAGAACAGCTAACAGAAAACCTCCAACTACTCCTCCGACCACCTGTGCAGTGTTGGTTCCAGCGTTTGTATCTTTCTGAATGCTGTCTGAAATGAAATTGAAATATCCGAGTCAAAATCACATGAGTTGAAGAAAGTACACCAAAGTGTGTATTTGACTCTGAACATAAATATAATAATAAATTCAATTATTTTTATCTTTATAAGTTGGCAGATTGGATACAAGTACGGACGTTTATGAGCAACAAGGAGAAAAATGCAAAATAGTACTGCATTTTAACAGAAAATGATTGTGTTTAGAAGAGATATTATTGCACAATATTGCCTACTGTATTAATCTTGCATTACATACACAATAATATTGTCCTGTGCAAAGTAGCATTGACTTTAACAACAGAAGAATATTGTCAAACTCCTCTTTTTGGATAACAACATCGAAAGGAGCATGTGTCCTGTCTTTTGTATACATGATGTACAACACCGTGTCAGTTACCATTCCTGTGTTACATGCATATTGCTTTCGCCATTTCTGTAACAAGTAGAAATGACAGCTTTCTTAATGTGAAACTGCTGAAATAAGTGATGTACGTATGTTTTTGCCTACCCTTTTAAAATTGAATACAATTAGGATGACTTGACAGTCAGACTTGTTAAGTCAGAATTGTTAAGAAGTCTGTTTACTTTGAGACTTTTGTGTTTGTGTTGAACATCTTTAAAAAAAATGAGAGAGGAAATATTTTTTGCCAGCAGCCATATCACCCTGCAACTCACAGCTTGTAGACCACTGAAGCTCAGCAGGCATGAGCCTGATAAATAGGATGGGAGACCCCCTCAGAAGTACTAAGATTGCTGCCAGAAGAGGTATTAGTGAGACCAGTAGGGGGCGCTCACCCCAAAGCCTGGATGGGTCCGAATGTCCCCGTATAGTGATGGGTACACTATACTATAAAAAGGCACTGTCCTTCAGATGAGATGTAAAACCAAGGTCGTGACTCTCTGTGGTCATTTAAAAATCCCAGGGTGTTTCTCAAAAAGAGTAGGTATGTTACCCCAGGTCCTGGCCAAATTTCCCATTGGCTTTTACCAATCTTGGCCTCCTAATAATCCTCCTATATAAATTGACTTCATCACTCTGTTCTCCTCTCCACTGATAGCTGGTGTGTGGTGAGCATTCTGGTGCATTTTGGCTGCCTTCACATCATCCAGGTGAGTCCCCATTACTTGTAAAGCGCTTTGAGTCCACAAAAGTGCTATATAAGTGTAAGGAGTTCTTCTTATTATTATTCTTATTATTCTTCTTATTATTATTATTACCATCCTGGATCTTCAAAATATCAGATTTTGGAGAATATTTTGTGTGAAGGTCCCATAAAACAAAAGTCTGAATCTCCCATCCACAGAATAATAGGATTTTGAATTTGAACAGATAGCTAATTATCCTAAAGTAACCTAGACTAGTGAAATAAGGAAGCTGGGGTAACTAGTGAATTATTGATCAACAGGCTGTTCTCTGAGCAGAAAGTCTCACAAGTTGAGCTATGTAGGTATATAATCTTAAATACAGTTACTTTACAATAATACAAAACTTACAGTAAATGACTGCAGAAGTCTTGTTCTCTTTGAGCCTGTGGTTTTCTATGGTACAGGACACAATGATCTCCTGAGTGACGTTGACAGTGAGGAGGCTTCTGACAGAGAACAGTTTAGTGTCAGGCTCCTGTGTGACAGTTGATCTCACTGTGTCCACAGGGGGGCATTCTCCGTTAATGAGCCAGTGGACTGTGGGCTTAGGGAAACCCTGTCCAGAGGAGCAGTTGAACTGGGCTTCACCTCCTTCTGTGACCCCATCTCTCTGCACCACTGGCTCTGTGTAATGAGCTGTTAAGAGAAAACCAACACTTTAAATAAGATGATGAAGGGAAATGCTATGCATATGTTAGAATGTGTAATTTTATTTCTTACTTATAATTTTGTGCTTTTAATTTTTTAAGAAATAAAATTTTCTCTAATGCCAATGCCCCTATTCGTGACCCATCCTCCACCTATTTTTCTTTCTAAGATGGTAACCCCCAAAAGCAGAACCCCAAGAACCCCAAGAATCCCACCAGATAGCAATAGGTAAGACACAGTCAGCAACATTGCTGATTGTGAATTTCTTGTTGTGATTGACTTTTGATGATGTCTACTGTCTCCAGTCCTGCCGATCAAGTATGGAGAAATACATAATTTACAGCAACAAGAAAGTAAAGGGCACTCTCGGGGTGAAGAAGCTATCAGCAAAGAGCGACCATGCTTTTAGCCAGCCAGTAGTACCAGCCAACCAAATCCACCTTTTCAATCTAGTGACATGTACTCACTCATGACATGTACTGCACCATGGTGTGAAGGCTCCAGGATGACAAATGGGAGAAGGCAAGTACAGTACCACCTTGTTCTAATTTTTGTGTTATTGACTCTGTGGCAGGGAAGCAGGAATAAAGAAGTGCTGAATGGAATCCAGACAGGAAGAGAGCCTGTTCCTAGCCTTAGCAAGAAAATTGCACCTCAGGGCACACAGAAGATCAGGTCTCACAGCTCTCTTCTCCCCAGAACAAACACAAAAGGCATATCTGAGCTAAGAGAGATTTCTACCAAAGACGAGATCAGCCATGAGCTGCTGTTTATTCAAATTCACCTACTATTCAAGAACCCCCGGCACTCAGGCTTGACTGAAGGAGAACTCCCAGGAATAAATTCTGTTTTGATTCTCTTGAGGCACAGGGATCCAGATATGAATGTAGATATGATTCAGCAGAATGGCCACCAGGACTTTAAAAGAAAACTGAGAGGCGGAGATGAAATCCAGAAATAGTAGTCAGAAGGGAAGCCTTTGTCCAGGAGAGGGAGAGAGAGAGAGACAGACGCACAGAAATATACTAGCGCAAAGCAGGAAGTGTTGTTCACCAGGTAGTACCCAATACTGAGCAAGGTAACTACTGTATACTAAAGTATATATAATAAAGTATAAAGTATACAAAAGTATACTGTACCCTGCCCCCTGGTACAATGACCATCTGCGATCCATGAAGGCAGCCTCTCGCAAACTTGAGCGTAGGTGGCGTCTTTCTGGCCTAAATGTACATTATCAGGCTTGGAGAGATTACTTATCTGAATATAAGGTTACTATAGAGTCTGCTAGATCCACCTACTTCTCTCACATCATTAAAAATCACCAAAACAATCCCAGACATCTTTTCTCCACAATCAACAGACTGCTCAAGCCACTCTGCCCCGCCACATTACCAGCCTTATCACAACTTTGCAACACATTATTTTCTTTAGTTATAAGGTTGACAAGATACGGCATCACGTTCTCTCCACTACACATATAATTTCCATACTTCCTCCCTCCTCATCCAACTTCTCTGGTTCCCTTCTCTCCAACTTCTCTCTTCTTGACTCAGCATCCCTCAATAAACTAGTTTCACACATGAAACCCACCAGATCTATTTTAGATGCCATTCCCACCACTTTATTTCAGTCCTGTTTCTGTCCCATTGTTCTCAATATTATACATGAATCCATGGGCACTGGCATTTTACCAACGGTCCTCAAAACTGCTGCCATTATCCCTGTGCCAAAAAAGCCTCATCTTCGCCCCATCTCCAACTTACCCTTTCTTGCTAAAATTCTAGAAAGTGCTGTCACAATTCAGTTACATAACCACCTTATGACAAACAACCTTTTCAAACCCCTCCAATCTGGATTCCATCAACTTCACAGAAACTGCCCTGGTCAAAGTCACTAACGATCTTCTTATAGCTTCTGATTCTGGTCCTCTTTCAATACTCATCCTTCTTGATCTCAGTGCTGGTTTTGACACTGTTGACCATAACATCTTACTTTCTCGTTTCTGACACTGCTCTCAAATGGTTCAAATCTTACCTCACTGATCACTGTCACTTTGTCTCTCTCAATGGGTACAGGTCTGAAATTGGTCTTGTTAAGTCTGGTGTTCCTCAGGGCTCAATACTGGGCCCCTTGCTCTTCAGCATTTACATGTTTCCACTTGGCCAGCTTTTAAGATCACATGGCCTCAGCTTTCATTTTTACGCTGACGATACTCAGATATACATCCATACCAAACCTGACACTGATGTGGCTGTCTCTATTGTATCTAATTGCATCTCTGACATAAAAATTTGGATGACTCAAATTTCCTTCATCTTAACTGTGACAAGACCGAAGTCATGCTTATTGGCACACCCCATCAACTTCGTAAAGCCAGTCCTGTGACCCTATCTGTAGATGGTTCTGTACTTGAGCTTTAATCAAAATTGAAAAACCTTGGGGTTATATTCGATTCTGGCTTAACATTTGACCCACATGTGCACCTCAGAAATATCGCTAGACTACGCCCTATGCTATCATTAACTGTGGCTGAAAAGCTGATCAACACATTTGTGTTCTCTTGAATTGACTACTGTAATGCTCTTCTCACTGGGGTATCTAAATCTACTCTGAACAAACTGCAATATGTCCAAAATTCAGCAGCCAGAATCCTGACCAGGTCTAGTGCAAGTGTTCACATTACTCCTATCCTTGAGTCCTTGCACTGGCTTCCGGTCAAATTCCATGTAGACTTTAAAATCCTCATGCTCACTTATAAGGCTCTGCATGGCTTGGCACCTCAGTACCTGTCTGAACTATTATCGCCCTACTCCCCACCTAGCAACCTTCGCTCTTCTAATTTTGCTCTCCTT